CAGCCCGCCAATGAAAAAGTGGGCGGGAGATTTCAGGGCTGGGCGCGGGGCGCCCGTTCAGAAGTGGCTGGCAGGCGAGATGGTCCAACGCAAAAGAACAAAAAAACAATGAAAAAACAACTAAAAAAAAAGAAGAAAGAAAAAGCCCAAGGGCCGTTTGGGCGGGCCGTGCGCCACTTCCGGTACGAACCGGTATCGCAGGGCCCAGATTGCGGGCCGGTCACCACCCGTGGATGGCCCAGATCGCAGGCTGATGAGAAAAGTTTCTCATCGGTCAGCGATCTGGGTCGTCCGCGGGTGGTGACCGGCCCTCAATCTGTGCCGTGCGATATGACGTTAGCGGTTTTTTTATTATTGTAGATGAATAAATTAACACTACTTGGTAGAATAGGCTCTTTTATCATTAATTTACTAGTGTATGTATACTGAGCCACAACAGGCTCGAGCGGGCTAGTGGCCAACAACAATTAGAATGTCGTGAGACAGTTCGGTTCCTATCTACCATTAATGATATGAAGAGAACTGAGAGAAGCCATCCCTAGTACGAGAGGATTGGGATAGGTCAACCTATGGTGGACCGGTTGTCATGTCAGTGGCATTGCCGGGTAGCTCTGAAAGCATATAAGCAGGAAACCCCTCTTCAAAAAAGTTATCATACAAAGTGAAAGACCACCACTTGAATAGGCGAGAAGTAAGAGCACTGTGAGGTGTGAAGCTTACTCGTACTAATTAGGATTTCAACTATCGGGGACTTATGGAACATGTCTAGCTCAGCCATCGAGTATACACAAAAAAAGGGCACAACAACTTTTTTTTTCCTTGGGCATATGACTAAGCCACCCTAATCGCCCTGAACTGTTTAAATACCCAAGTTTTATGTAATTATCTGCACTTCGTCTTTTAAGGTAGCATATGACTGAACCGATCATCTTTAGCTCGAGGTCCAACTTGCCCCTTTACCACAAGTTTATTCTTAATTAATACTCTCTTCAGTTTGTGATAAGCTATAGTCAGACCACCCAAACTTATGGAACAGTGTCCAACTAGCTTGTTCATAAATAGAATAAAAGTAAAGTATAGCCAAGTTATAACCTCTCGGTTCTAACATGTGCGTGGCATGGGACCAAGACCACCCAAACTTATGGAACAGGTCTGGTCCTCTGCCCGATTTATTCTCTTAATGTAAAGGAGGAAGAGGTTGAGCCACCCACACTTATGGAACATTCTCAGACCCCCTCGTTCAAAACCAAAAGAAACTAAGAAAACCCAAAATAAAACAAGGCAACCAAGCCACCCAAACTTATGAAACAATGCTTGGTTCCTAAAAAGTCAACCACAGACAACCCTTGCAAGTCAAAGCAACCAGACCACCCAAACTTATAGAACATGTCTAGTTCTCCAAGCAACCCAAAAATAAACATAGCACTGGGCCTCCCCAAACTTATGGAGACTTGCCCTGCCTTTGATGAACCTGGTCAAACACAAGCAATACTGCCTTCCTCCCATCCTTCCCCCAAATGCAATCCCACAATCCGCATTCAGTCAAACAATAAAAATGAAACTGATGTTACACAACCATTCTTTTATTAAGTTTGGATTGAGTCCTGAAAGTCAAACTAAAAGTCAAATATAGGATACATGCAATATATTCAACCAAACTATAACAGGATAGACAAATATGGTTTATAATTGGGCTTATAAAAAGGGAGGATGAAACTGTTACCTCTCAGTTCCCTGCCTCCAGAACTCCCGAGTTCCAGCAGAGCTCCCGCAATCGGTGGGTTGACTCCCCACAAAGTCTTGTTGCGGTCCTACGGGTTGCAATCCCGCCTACCGCCTTCCTCTCAGAACAGGATTAAACTTAGAGTAAGAAGGGCAGAAGGAGGGGTTTCCGACGCTCGAGATACAAGAGGGAGACTGACTCAACTCCCAGGAGAGGGTCTTGATACCTTCAGTCGCTTGAGGGCCCCGCAATGATGGCCAAATAGCAGCAGCTTGGTCAAGACTGAAGTCAAACTGCCGAGGTCAACCCTCTGACGACCTCGTAGTTCATAGCAATATAACCCCTTTCACAAGCTTGACTGCTCTTCTGAGTCTCAACGCCTCCCCTTAGAACAGTTGTCGCTACACTGCATCCTTAAGATCAAAAAGGAGTTCTCAATTTGTCCGTCCTTGCGAATAACACAACGATACGCAGCAGCCACTCAAGAGTAGACCGAAGGAGGCGACAAGTCAGCTATACACAGTTTGCCACATGGATACAGCATTTGCAGCCTTGTCTTTCAACAACTGCTCATCCACACACGCCGTAAACACAGTCCACAGTCATCGTATTTCGACATTCACTGCGAATCCTGTTTTCACGGCAATATCAATTGGTGAGTCTCTGCAACAGTAACTGAGCAAAAATCGAACTGTGCCCTCCACTCGACCATAGGCAGACACACTGCCAAGCTCCCAGACACCTGAACAGTTGACGATGTGGCTATAACTGCCGACAAGATGAGCGAGGTCCGACTGGATTTTCCATTCGGGCCCGATGCACAGGCAACCGAATCTTTCATCAGCACGGGGCCAGATGCTTCTTTGGCAGGTAAGCATGCTCGTCCACCCCGATCCTGTTCCCGCCCGTAGTCAGTTGTCTCATGTGATGATTCGCCCCCTAGCTGCAATCCCCGCGGTTGGCCTCACTCTGTTCACTCCCTTGGCTGATAGGTGGGCAGCGCACTGGCATCAGGTAAGTCTCCAAACTCTCGTCTAGCCTCATTCCACTACCATCGACCAGGTAAGCACCGCCCAGATTAGTTGGTGAGTCCTTGCCCTCACAACTCATCTCCCACGCTTCAGTTCGTCGAGCGTATGGGCAACGTACAGGCTACGGGTAAGTCCCTGCTTCAAAGCACGCCTTTAGCTACTTCGCTCGAATGGGTGAGTTAGTCAGAATGAATCTTCCGTTCAAAACACGGAAGTATACACTGCCCCCCTTTTTGAAGTCGCCACCTCCTCTTACACGTTCGCTCGTCACCTCAGCGCCTCGCCTCCAAGCTTGAGCAGATACTCTGCCCGTGCGTCGCTCCCTGCCACTCCGTATAGTAGAGTCTGTCTGTGACTTCGATAGCGGCAGAGTCGAGCAGACCCTCCCCCGCGCTCCGTGGTTTGCCCTCACTAGCTTTGCGCAACTTGGCGGACTGCGTAGTGGCCGATAGGTAGCTCCCTGTCTTCGTAGCCGGTCTCACCCCCTTCGATTGTTACGACGAGTAGCTCCTCAGTCCGCAGGTAAGTACCCACCCGTACGGCTGGCCCCCATGGAAGGAGGAGCAAATTCAGAAGGAAGTTCCCGTTAGAATGCGGAAAGATGCATTCCGCCTAAAACTTTCTTCTACTCGCGCAGTTCCGACACATCATATCACCCAATTCGTTGCCCCGACTTCAAATCTACTTTTACCAATGGACTCGCCCCCTTCTCATAACCCCGACCTCGCAGCCTTCCTGCTTGAACCCAATCGACATCGAGTAAGGTAAGCGATTTTTTACCAATGCCATACGCATACTCCCGTCAGCATCGCGCACATCTTCCCTATTCTCGCTTCCCTCCTACTAACTTCCTACCTACTTTGACTTTGGATTTGGTTTCGCCCGCCCTCGAAACCTCGGAATCGGCTCTTATCCCGCCAGAAGCGATCGACTATCAAGTGAACTACACCTCTTCAGCTATGCCTCGCCATTCTCTCCATCATCGTCTTTCTCATCATCCAACACCGAATGCCTCCGGCCCTGCCTTTGCTTGGAGTCACCTCTCTTTTCTTCCGATACGGCCAGCCTAATACTGCGTTACGACTTGAAAGCCCTGTTGTGACGAATTAGCGCTTCGCGGTGTGATAACACACCAACTCGCGGAGTGCACTTACAAGAAGTCGCGGGAAGCGGAGCGAACAACCGACCATAGCGGAAAAGAAAAGAAGGGTCGAAAAATCATTCCTAGCTACACGCGTTATCCTGGCCCAGGGGCCATGCTAATCTTCTTTGTATCGTTCCAATTTTTACGGATGTCCCGAGGGACTTGTACGGTACCGAGCCCTAGCGCACCGATTTGGGTAAGCAATCTCCGAATTCAATATCACAGCTCATGGGTGTGCTAATCGTGTTAGGGCGACTGGCCACGACCGCCGGTACCAGTCCCAGGCCCCTTGTCAGAGTGCCTTTGGCACGCTACGCTCAAGCACGGTCCCCAACCTTCTGACCTCATCGGGCACGCCCACACACAGACGGCAGGTCGCGGATTCAAGGGTGCAGATGTCGGTTGTCCCGAGGCGAATCTTGGGAGTAATGACCCCGGGCTGCTTCACTCCTCTGCACCCCGACATAGTCCAATGTCCTAACAGGCAAACTAACCTCCAATCCTCTCATAGTAAATTCATGGCGGGCAAATAGTACACTCACACAGAGGTTTCCGCCACTCAGGTTCATTTTGCCTTGTGGACTCAATCCATAATTCCCGGTGAGTGGGTTAGAGGAGCTTCGCCAACAAGGAGAGATGCATACTCGCAGTCCTCGGCCGTCGTGACGACCCTGAAGAGGCCAAAATCTTATGTTCGCCCGGCCAGCCCTACAGCCTGGTCAACAACTTCTCGGTCCAAGTCGGGGTCTAGTTCTAACAGGCATTCAAGACAAAGGGTACGGCGCAACACGTAGACCTTCCGAAACGTCTTCCAAAATCATGGTGTCGCCGATGTCCCCCCTTGTACATACGCGCAAATCACGGTCAAGCACACCAATCATAAAACAAAAATCCTTTTAAACCTAGTTTAATCAAAAATAAAATAAAATAAAATAAAATAAATCTGGCCGGCAACCAACGCCGACTTTCACACTCATCAAAGGGAAAACAGGTCACGCGCGCCTTAAGTGTACGTGCCCACACACTCTCTACTCTAGTCAACCATCCAGTCAACGTAAACCTCAAACACCGCAGCGTCTCGCGCGGTATACTCAATCTTTAGACCAAACTTATTTTCTGTTGTTTGCAAAAAAACAGGGCGGATACCCTTGTAAGGGTATTCGCACCGACAACGGAACGCATGCGAAAAGCGGCACGGGGGCGCAGAAAGCAAGAGTCACGCGAACCGCATGCCAGCAAAGCGGAGCGGGGGCCGACGGGGGCAAAGCGGCAGCGGATGCAAAAAGGAAACACCGCACGAAAAAAGTGGACCTGTGCGCGGTATCAGCATATCGGTGGTGGGGTGGGTGGCATCGAGGGATCGGTGGATAGACGGGCCCGCATACGTGCAGAGGTGTCATCGGTTTATTGATTGATTGATTGAGCAATCAATGTCCACCGCTCCCCCCCCCACCCCTTTCAACCTTCCGCTCTTTCTCCCGCTCCTCCTCCCGCACCTCCTCTGCCCCTTCCCGTTTCCCCTCACGCTCCTTCTCCCGCTCCTAACCCCCTTCCCGTTTCCCCAACCGCTCCTCCTCCCCCTCCTCCTCCCCTCCTCCCCTCCTCCCACTCCTCCCGCTCCTCCTCCC